TAGATTTTGCATTATCCTTAGGAGAGAAATGAAACCAGAGCTTTGACATAGGCACCCCCACCGCACATCTTGCTTCATTGACGAGGCTGAAGAAGGTCTGTGTGCTCTGCAGCCAACTTGAGACCCCGACACAGGGTTTGTGCAGCAGGTCTCTCACACCTGGTAAGCAGGTGCCGATAACTGCAAGCACAAGGAAGGTGCTTAGACCTGTCCCCGGGTTAGTGCCTGGAAGAGCAGAGGTTTAGCACCTGGACTAACAAAACCCAGGTAGAGAGCACAGAAGCATTCCCTCTGAGTGACATACAGCAGGGAGGTACTGGGCCAGCCATGCACACTTATTGCAGATCCTCAGGACAACATGGGAAGACACTAGTCTAACATAGAGTTAGATATTCGCTCCAGTGACACAGGAAGAAAGTAGCTACAGTCACACTGAGCTCCAGTTACGTGACCCTTTGCATTTCACACAGAGGTTTGAAAGGCCTCATGGCTAACAGTCCAGGGCAAGAGGGTGGAGGGGCTGAAGGCAGGTGAAACCCCCGTGAGTTGCTGGTCAGTCTCCTCTCTTTTCCTTATACCAAGACCCACTTTCCTCTGCTCCCTGCCCCCTCCTCCCTATGGACTGTCCTTGTCTTGTTTAGCCAACCGAAGGTGACAGGGGAAGGGAGGAGTTAGCACTCAGCCAGGGCACCTGACCATGAGACCAGGACAGAGATACCCTTAATGATCCCTAGTAGGTAAACCCCTTTGGCTCCTATGGGCAGTTCCACCTTTTGATTTCTCTGGAGCATATCCCGCCCTTGAGGTACCCCTTGGATTCAGGGTCTTGAATAAGAACCAGCGAAGGAGAAGAAGCTCAATACCTGTGTGACCTTCTGGGTTCATGTTGCTGCAGGATCTCTGTGTCCCTCACCCTCAGCTGTCTGGGTCCTGGTAGACAGAGGTGTGGCTTCGCTCTGGGAGAAGGAACCAAGTGTGGGGTCCAGTGTGAGCAGTGGGAAAACAGGAAGCCACGAGGGGAATGTGCCGGAGCTTCCCTGGGTGGGGTGGTTTAAACACGAACGCACACGTAAGCTGAAGCTCTGTTCCTCCTCCCTCTGGTATGTCTCAGTTGCTATTTTAAACAAACCAGCCCTCAGACTCTGCCAAACCAAGAATAGTCAATGGCCACAACTGCCGAACCAAGAATAGTCAACAGCTACAAGGAGGAAAGCCCTGTGAAAACATATAGAGGAAATAAAACCAAACACGGGAGAGATGGACAGGAATGTTCTGGAACCCATAGAGGCTGGAGCTGTTGTGTTCACTCACTGATAGGAGCTACTATGAAAAGGAGTCTGTGAGTTGCATGGCTTCCTCATTTGCCTTGGCTTGTATTCTAGGAGTTGTTACTCTTGCTCCCTTTAAATTTGAAATTTAAAACTTTTCATCATTATTATTTAGGTCACATGTTTATAATAGTGTGAATATTTGTGGCTATGATGTAAAGAGTTACCACACCTCAAAGTCACCAAAATGCCCAAGAATTTGCACGGATGTCCCCTTGCTACTTCTGGTTCACCTCATCACACTCCCTCTAGTGCTTGGTAATCTCAGTCTTGAAATCTAGGGCCAAAGGTTTGACATCGCTGGAGAGCACACAGCCCCTTGTTTTATATTTATGTGCCGCAGATAAATCGCACCATCCTGTATTTGTTTTTCTGCCTCTGACTTATTTCGCTTAACATGATGCTCCAGTGTCTTCTAAATTGGAGTGAACTCTAAGGCTTCACTTTTTCTTACAACTGTATTGTATTCCACTGTAGGTCTATACCACAACTTCTTAATCCATTTTTCTACTGTTGGACATTTAGGTTGTTTACATGCCCTGGCTATTATACAAAGCATTTCAATGACACAGGCATTCGTTGTGTAGCACCATAGTACTGTCCTCCCGTTGTTCTTTGATTTGCTAGAGCGGGCGCCAGTAATGTCTCACAACAAATTATGAAACTTGTTGTTGCTGTTTTTGGCATATCGAAAGTGTTTTATGATAGTCAACATGATTTCCCCACTTGGGAGAACTGGACTCATTTTTCAATGCCCACGTTTATCATCATCTCCTCAGAGAAGCCCTCCAGAATTTTCTCAGCAGAGTTCAGTTCTATGCCAATGGCATAAGAGATCTGATTGGAGAACAAGGAACCTGAGTGACGGGAGAGACTGGAACCACATCAGCAACTTTGGGGAGTCAGGCCTCAATTCTAGCTTGACCTTAAACTTGTGTGACCACTTCTCTGTAAAGAAAGAGCTTGTGGGGTCACTTTTTCTATCACCTCCCTTTGTCGTTCCAAGCGACTGAATAAAGGATACACTCGAGCCAAGCTATTCTGTTATCTGGGAGTTTGATGGTTATGTTGGAGATGCTAAGATCCCCAGCCTCATTTAACAGGGGTCCTCCTTTTGACTCATGCTAGTTTTGATCTCCATAACCAAGCAACTGACACAAAAATTAGAGAAGTGGGGCTTGTGTGATAGTACAGCAAGTAGCTAACTTGACTTGGATGTGGCTAACCCAGATTCGATCCTCGACATCCCATATAGTCCCCTGAGGACTGCCAGGAGTAATTCCTTAGTGCAGAGCCAGGAGTAACCCCTGAGTATCGCCAGGCAAGACCCAAAAAGAAGAAAAAGGGAAAAAATTAGAGAGAAATGTATCAACTACACTAAATCACAGTGGAATTCAACATAAAGGGTCAGAGGAAAAAACGTTGATGAGTCTTTGAATAATATAATTTTCCAGGGCTTACACTCAATGTCAAGTTCAGTCTCTGAAAGAGCATCAATTCTTCTCTTCTTGTGATGAAGAATTTACCAAGAGATAAAGCATATTGCTTGTGTAAAATGGCAAGTATCGGTCAGGATCCTATTGGCCTCTTCAGGAAGAAATAAAAGACGCCATTGATGGCCACAAGGAGACATCAACCGACAGATGGATTGAGAAAAGCCCTCAACAAGGTGGTTGTGAAAGAACCTGTCAGTCATTAGATCACTTGGTTAGTGGTTTAAGAGACTTTCTAAAATGATACTGTATGTCCAAGTCTCCTGCTTCTTGCCATGAGTGGAAACCTGTGGCATATATGTGCAATGCTTCTGTAAATGTTTATGATAATGAGGAAACAACAAGAAATGGAGTGAATGACAGATGACCTTTTCTCTGCCTCTTTGGAGAACATGATTCTGTGATCCTCCACAAAAGTTCTTCCTAAGATCCTAGTAAATCCAGCACACAAGGGTGATCAAATCCAGAACAGTATGCATTCAGGGGTGTTCAGGGTGAGCAGAGGGCAGGGTCTCTATTCCAGGGGAAAACCAGGAGACCTTTCTGGGACACAACTACAAAAACATAAATAAAACATGGAAGCAGCTTGGGATAGAGTGATGCTGTCTGGATTTCTCCCGAGATTTCTGAGAAAAATCTCTGATGTTCTGTGACACCTCTTAAACCAGTCCTCTGGATTTGCAGAGTCTCACAGGCATGTGTCAATCTAGGATTTAGCTGGATCTGTCCATTAACACTATGAAAGCTCAGAGTATCACCAATCCACAGGCCAAGGGTCACAAGGACCAAGCAGAATCCATATATTGTTCTGTCCAGCACTCACGCAGGGATAAAGAGATGGAGGCACAGAGAGTTCTTGTCTCTGGAATCCAAATAGGTTGATCTTGACCCAGTAAGTTCCTGACCCGAGCTAAAATCTAAATTTATTTCTTCACTTAGTATGTTAAAAACATTTTTTATTTAGGCAACATTGTTCAAACAATTGTTATGATTACAACTTCAGGCCAACAATGTTCCAATTCCACTCTACCACCAGTGTCCCTCCTAACTTTCTCCTCCCCTCTCCTACGCACCTATCCCACCTTTTAAAAAACAACTATTTTACTAGAAATCGGGCTCCCATTTGACACAGCAATACCACTTCTGGTAATATATCCCGGAGATTTAAAAAAAAAAACATTGGAAATGACATCTGGACTTGTATGTTTATTGCAGCACTATTTACAACAGTCAGAATCTGTAAAAAAAAAAAAAAAAAAAAAACCTGAGAGGTCGAGAACAGATGACTGGTTAAAGAAACTTTGGTACATCTACACAATGGAATACTATGCAGCTGTTAGAAGAGATAAAATCATGAAATTTGCATATAAGTGGATCAACATGGAGAGTATCATGCTAACTGAAATGAGTTGGAGAGAGACAGACATAGATAACTGCACTCATTTGTGAATGTAAATTAACAGAATGGGAGACTAACACCCACATACAATAGAGATAGGGGTCAGGAGGATCGCTCCATGGCTTGGAAGCTGGCCTCACATGCTGGAGGAAAAGGCAGCTAGAATAGAGAAGGGACCACAAAGTGAATGATGCTTGCAAGTCTCGATTTGGTTTGGAGATGTGTGATGAACGTATACTATAAACCAAACATGATGGCCAATTACTACCTGTACTGCGAACCACAACACCCCAAAGGAGAGGAAAGTAAAAAGAAACATGCCTGCCACAGAGGTGGGGGTGGGGGTCAGGAGGGTATGGGGTAGGTGTGGCAGGAGGGATCCTGGGAATATTGGTGGTGGAGAATGGGCACTGGTGGAGTGATGGGTACTCGGTCACTGTATGACTGAAATGTAATCACAAAAGTTTGTAAGTCTGTAACTGTATCTCACAGTGATTCATTAAAAAAAAAGTAATAAAAAAGCAACTATTTTACAACACAGCATTTGACCTTTCATTGAAACTTCACTGATTCTTCAGTGAACGCTGAACCCAAAAAGCACCAGCAATTTGCCAAATGCTCCATATGCTCAACTCGTATCACCCACATCCTATTCCCATTCACACAATCACTACCACCAGGACTTCCACCATCCTCACGAAGAAGACAGAGTCATAAAGGCAAGCCTCCTGGAACACAAAAGTGAGTAATAATGGAAATGGTAGAGACAGCAACCACCACTAGGGAATAAATTCTTTATTGCTGGGAGGGGGAATCCATGGGGAATGTTAACAATGAAATCATGAAAGCTCCTTCATGAGCAAATCCTTCTCACTCTTCAGTTCTCTCAGAATTCAACTCAGATTGCTGAACTTCTCACTGTTTGTCACATCATCTTTTTCCTTCGTGCCCCAATATCTTTGTTCCAAAATAAACAATTTCATGCCCACTCTCTTGGCTCTCAGATCCTCTCACCTCCTGATTCGAGGCTCCATAGTCCTGCCTGTCTTTCACCCAACAGCCTCCTCCATGAACCCTCCCTAGCTATGCTTCACTAACAGGAAAGCTAAATTATTTAACATCCAGATCAATTAAACTTATCTCACAAAAACCTCCCCCAAGGAGGGTCTTTCCACCCGTCAGTCAGTTCAGGCCTCTGCTCCCTAAGCTATTCCCTGGTCCTCCAGGATAATTGCATGGATCTCTTTGAGATTTTCCAGTTTCATCTCCAGTTCCGAAGCATGCTCCCTCAGCCTGCTGGCTGACGCTGTCTGAGCCCCCTTCTGCAAGTCAGCCGATTGCTGCACGAGGCTGTATACATCTGCCAGGAGGAAAATACCTGAAGTGGCCATCCCTGCCAACCGGGCCCCTTTGCTCATTGCCAGTGCAGTGCCTCCAAAAGCTTTCTTCACCTGCCTGGCACCTCGGGCTGAGATTCTTCCACTGTTCATGAAGCGTGTTGCTCGGGCCGCTAGGCGAGGGTTAGCACTGACCAACTTGATGGCACGAATGTTCTTCTCAATGTTCATCATACCTTTGTAAATATTTGTTCCCATGGGAACAACTTTCGGGGCACAGTTAGATATAATTCCCTTTAATATTTCCTCTGGATTGACCTCAATTGATGTCAACTTCTTGGCATCACCTTCAACGGCTGCCAATCTTACGTGTTCCACAATGCCGGTGGCTACACCAGTCACAGCAGATGCGGCCCCCAGACCCACCCCAGCTGTTGTCAGACCCAGACTGATCCCAGCTGTCACCGGTGCCAGACCCATGCCAGCAATGGTCAGGATGCCAGACAAAATGCTGCTGGAGGAGGCCACCATGTTTGAGATGGTGCAGTCCTTGTGTATCTGGTCGGCCTTGTCTGCCAGTTCTCGGAGCTGTGTTATTTGCTCCTCAAGTTTCCTTTTCATTTGAGGAAACTCTTTCAAGAATCTCTCCCTGAACTCCTGCTCCTGTGGCTCTATGTGCTTCATGTCTCCAAGCATTTCCTGTGCCATCAAACTTACACGTACTTCGTCTGCCTCCTCCCTGTAAAGAACAAAAGTAGGTGATTGGCTTCTAGTATGATCATCTGTAAAATGAACTCAGTAAGGTCCATCTTGTGTTAAGCACAGGGCATTCACTATCAATACAATAAAAAAATGTTTTACAAATGTAAGACTTTTAAAAAAGACATTATGGAGCCAGAGAGATAGTACAGCAGGTAAGGTCTTTGCCTTGCATATGGCCCACCTGAGTTCAAACCCCAGCATCCCTTATGGTCCTCCAAATTCCATGAGGGGTAATCCCTGAGCACTACCAGATGTGGCCTAAAAACCTAAATAAATAAGATCACGGTCACGGTCACAATCCTCCCGTTGTTAATCAATTTGCTCGAGCAGGCCCAGTAACATCTCCATTGGAGACTTTGTTGTTACTGTGTTTGGCATATCGAATACATCACAGGTAGCTTGCCAGGCGAGATACTCTCGGTAGTTTGCCGGGCTCTCCGAGAGGGGCGGAGGAATCGAACTCGGGTCAGCCATGTTGGCTGCGTGCAAGGCAAACGCCCTACCGCTGTGCTATGTCAAACATATAGATTCTGGTTGTACTTATATCTGCATAAATAACTATTTTTTTATTTTGGGGGTCACACTGGTGATGCTCACAGGTTACTCCTGGCTCTGCACTCAAGGTCGTGCTTAGGGGACCAGGTGGGGTGCTGCGGGGAATCAAACCTGGGTCGTCCACATGCAAGGCAAATACCCTACCCACTGTACTCAAGATCCTAAGGTGCTCCCAAGAAGGAGGCATTTCTTGGGACAGGGAGACCACATAGCAGTTTTGGCACATACGGACATGTTCCTGACCCAGGTTTGATTCCTGACATCACCACGTCCCCAAGCATAGTGAATGTAGCCCTAGAGATCCTGAACCCCTCTGCAAGGCCCAGCAAAATTGCCCTGCAAAGCCCTTGAAGCCCACTGACCCACCAGCTTTGAAACACAAATGAGGTCCTCAGGTCTCCTGAGAACCTCGTGGTTTCTTCTAGAAGAACCGAATATTAGACAAAAACCATCTCTCTAGAGACCAAGTAAACAGCATCAGTACAATAGGTGCTCCTAGGGCAGGGACTCTGACAGGAGAAGGAAGAGCATGAGCACCTTTATTCCAGAACCGTGAGTGAAAACTGAGGTGACCCACTGTCAGACCTGCCCTTTGCCTTGGGCACCCAGGAAATGGTGTCCAGGTACTGTAATGTCCTGTGTCATACAAGTGTCTCCATATGTCTGGAACCTTGCAAACTGGGTAGTGTATCATGGTGGTTTGTGATGTAAGGCTGGGGTCATGTGGTAACAGTTCTGACCTCAGTGAGAGGATAAATGTTGTAGGTTAACAAATGAGCAGCAAGAGATTGACCCCAGGAAAAATTTACATACAAAGGGAGGGATGAAGAGATTCTCAGGGCTTCCTGTAGGCTCTGTGCTAATGGATCATTCTTGACCATGCTGGGGGTACTTGTGAGTCAAGCCTGGGTCAGCTGCAGAAAAGGCAAGTGTCCTATGCTCTATACTATCTTTCTGCTCCAGATTATGCTCTTGAGCAAACCTCTGCCAGGATCTGTGGATCCTTCTCTAGATGAGATCTCCACCTTGGTGTTCCATGTCCTGTACTTGTCACCTTATATTTCCCTGTATTAGAAATATTAGGCTTACAGCAAGAACCCCTACCATTTTTTGACATCCCATAGCCCTTGATAGCAGACAGGATGTCTTCAAAGGACAGGGAAGCATCACCTAATAAATATTCCAGAGATAGCACAGCGGTAGGGCGTTTGCCTTGCATGCAGCCAACATGGCCGACCCGAGTTCGATTCCTCCGCCCCTCTCAGAAAGCCCGGCAAGCTACTGAGAGTATCTCGCCCGCACGGCAGAGCCTGGCAAGCTCCCCGTGACGTATTCGATATGCCAAACACAGTAACAACAAAGTCTCCAATGGAGACGTTACTGGGCCTGCTCGAGCAATCCTTAAGCTTTCAGCCCTTCTCTATATGGAGTTATAACTGTGAGTAAAACCAGGTCTTGGAGCTTTATGAGTACTTGTTGGAGTACACGGAGCTTAGGTTTATCAGATTGTGCCCATCACAGTGCTCCCGAGTCACTCCCATTACTTTGTCTGTCTGTAACCTCTTCTATGCTCTCTTCCCCAACCAATTTGTAAGGTCTCATCCTTCTTAGACACTGAAGCTGTACTGTAAGTCAATATTGCCTTTCTCCTCTCCTTATGTCTTTGAGCAGTTTACTTTAATGCAATGTCCTTTTGTATAGATACAGGAAGGCAATTAATTAATATTATGCTTTATAACTTAGGAATTGATTGGCTTTGAATATTATTCACTCCTGGGCATCTGCCTTCTCAACTTAAGCCTCAGTTGCCCTTACTTCCTAGCACCCCAAGGGCAGGGTCCCGACGTGGGACTGGATGGAACCAGGGCAAGCCGGTAAGTTATGTGCTACCCTGGCATCGCGATGGGCCAGGCCAAGGTGCCACGATTCTTAACTATAAGTTAAGAATTTGATCATAGGCAAATGATGTCATGATCCAAAAGTAACGACGAGACTAGGGCCCTGCTGCTAGGAATAGGAAAGATATCTGGCCTGAGCACTGCAGTCTGAGATCGAGATGGCCCTAGGAGAGCAATTCTATAAGCCCAAAGTATTTCTTACTGTGTCCATACGAAATGATTAATATTATGTATGCTTATATGTTGGTTGGACAAGGAGAGGAGAAACACGTCCTAGAAGCAGTTTCCTGTGTGTCCTGACTAGCTTGGATGAGACTGCTTTTTTGGAGATGTAGATTCCAAGCTCTAGCAGACTGGTCTTTGTTGTGCTAATCTAAGTACTTGTAGCTTGTGAAAAGGTGAGGCCAGGATTACTGGCCTGCGGATGTAAGGAAACAATGTATGGTTTGCCGCCTCAACGTTCTTTCTGTAACTCCTTCTGATGACATCATTATATTGCGCCCTTTAGAGGTACTATGATCTATATAAGGGAGATTTCAGGGCTCTCTGGGGGGACACGTGCACCAGAGAACGGGGGGACACGTGCATCAGAGAACCTGGGAAGATGGGGCTGAGACAGAAGCGGAGAGAACAAAGGCGCACGTGCTCGAGGATTCCTGAGGCCTCCATGACTTACATCTCTTCCCATGTAATAAACGGCTACTAAGACCAACTAGCTTGGCCTCGTTTCCTTCCTTCACCTGACCATCGCCTTCGACCTCCCTGGAGTGGGGAAACGGCAGACCGCCGGCCTTTTTATTTTTTGTGTGTTTACACAAGTACTGATCGAGAAAAGTCAAAACTAGGATGATTTGAGGAATCCCCAACTGTGGTTAGTATCACGGGAAGAGGCCTCTTTAGAAAGTATTTTCGAAAAGACATTCTGTTATTCTGGCTCTTTAGGGTTTAAAAATCTCAAACTACAAAGGTAGAAAGGATATTAGTGATGTGTTCTTGTATCATCTTTCTTCAGAGCCATTAACCTTTCTATGTGGCCACTGGGTCCAGTCTCAGACCAAATGCTGAAACAACGAAGACATGTCATTAACACTGTTACCCTTGCACTCTCCAGTCCGCCCCTTGACCTCTGACCCAACATCCAGAACTCCTCCCCTCTAAGCTGACTCCAGCCTTCCCAACAAATTAGCTGGTGACATTCCCCTGTGAGTCCTCTCTATCTGTGTGCCAATTCACGGAAACTCTGAAACATTCTGCAGACATTAAGAAGCACAGATAGAAACTTCTAGTTATGAATAGATTTGCTTTGGGACAGTGAGTTGAGGAGTAACTGTGCTTTTTACAGATCAGATGTGAATCTCTTCACCATTAATCAATGACACAAAATTGGCCACCATCACAAATTTGACTAAGCCACACCACCCTGCTGGTCTATTCTATGTAGAATAAAAGGTCTCAAGTGGTAGCTGAGAATCACCCACCCCAGGCAGGTTTAGAGGAAGCAATCAGCATGTGAACCCTATCATAGGGGCTATGTCCTCTCTCCCACTCAGAGGAGACTTCCAAACCCACGTGTCCCTTATATTCTGTACTGGACACTGATCCTAGTTCTGACCATGGCATCCAAGTCTTCTGACTAATCTTCCAACTAGCACATAATCCAATTCCGTCCTGAAACCTGCCTCTGATCCTGGTCTAGGTCTCAACAGGCCTTTGAGCAGACTGTTTGCATGCTTCCAGACTTTTACCCTGCAGTTTACTCTAAGTAATTAATTTTGATTAACAAGATTGAATGCCTATTCTTACAGAACAACCCACAGTTCTGACTCTCTAAGACAAAGTCCAGGGGGCAGGAGCGATAGTACAGGGGTAGGGTGCTTGCCTTGCACGTGGACAACCCGGGTTCAATACCCAGAATCCCTGATGGTCCCCCGAGAATCACCAGGAGTTACTAATTTCTAAGTTCAGAACCAGGAGTAACCCCTGAGCATCGCTGGGTGTGACCCAAAAAGAAAATAAAGAAGACAAAGTCCAATACTTTGGAAGTTGGCAGGGATAGAGCTGGCATGTAACCCAACTCCATCCAACTTAATTTCACATTCTACCTTGTGGACAAAAGGAACCTGCTGAGTTTCTGAGATTCTTTAGGCAGAGAGAACAAAATACCAAGCTAGAATTCGCCGGAGCACAAAATGATTCTGTCAGTATTTTTCTGACTTTCCAAAGGGAAGTTCTACTTGGCTTTCACTTCCAAGCTGAATGTCCTCATCTCTTCTCAGCAAATTTTTCAAAATTAATATTAACTGAACACCTCTATATGTTGGTCATTATGCTAAGCACTTTGTATACATCATGCAGTTTACTCACAACACTGGACAGATTAAGAAACTTTCGGAAGATACCTTGAGAAATGTGCTTCAGTCACAAAATACTCCCAGATGTCATTATTTGTCAGCAGGGAATAGAGATCTTCTTTATTCATTGTGTTCTGGATGTAATTGATGGAGTACTCAACGAAGCTGCAGTTTGCTAGATGAAAGAATAAAGAATTAGATGAGAGGCCTGGGGTGGCACTTCCAGAGGATTGAGTTGAAGGTGATTCCATCTTCCTGAGCAGAGTCTCCTGGGTACTCCTGATAAGTAACCTGGTGCTATTGATGACTTTTCTCCCCCCCCACCACCACCACACACACATGCCAAATGATTTCTAAAACCTGCTTCTTAATATAATTGCATTAAGGCAAAATGGAGATGAGACCTTCAGTGGGAAAGGAGAGGTAAAATGAGGCAATAAAGATCAGCTCTTAAGTTATTAAATCAAATGTCCATAGAGAAAGCAAGTCTACACCCCATTCACCTTCCTCCTAGCCTGCTCCATGCACAGAGAATTGCCACAGGAAAGCAGAGTAGAAAGGTGGGCGTCAGATTCCTCAAGGAATCTGTCATCCTTTAGAAAGAGCCTGTGGGACCTTTTACTACAGTCAATGGGCAGCACCCTGGACACAAGTGCAACCATGTTTTATAGGGAACATATTTCTTCCTATTCAATGGGATGAATGTGGTGATGACAATAAATAAGCGCAGGTAGGATCTGCTCAAAAACGCATTGCTACTTAAATGAGTGAACAGTAGAACAGTAGAAGGTGAGTAATTGGAGATAAGAAACTAGAGAACCGTATTTACCATAGACTCTGTACAAAGAAACAAATAAAACAAATAAAAAATAATAAAAAAAAAGAAACTAGATAGAGAACCGTGTGTGTGCCTGTGTGTGTGTGTGTGTGTGTGTGTGTGTGCGTGCGCGCGCATGCGTGTGTGATATAGTGGGTTTCTTGCTCCTTGCATTCAAAGAGGAGTTCTTGCTTCACAGGAGAAAGTGAGATCAGATAGGATAAAGTCAGCAAAACAGTCAGTAAAGGGAAAACCCAGGAGTTAATTCACATCAACTATTAGTCATGTCTTTGATATTACAATGAAGTTCCTTCATATTTCAGAATTCCTGCAGTTTTTGCCTTAAAGTCTTGAGAACTTATGTCCAGATTTGTTGTTTCTGTTATATTTCTAAAGAGTGGTATACTCTACAACCATTTAGGAAAATTACATTTTGGTGGGGATTTTGTTCGCTTGTTTGTTTGTTTTTTTAATTGAATCACCGTGTTTGAGTTTCAGTCATACACTGATCAAACACCCATCCCTCTACCAGTATACATTTTCCACCACCAATGTCCCCAATATCCCTCCCCCACCCCTGTCCCATTCCTCCCCCTGCCTCTTTGGCAGACAATTTCCACTTACTCTCTCTCTCTACTTATAGGCATTATGATTTGCAATACAGATGAGAGGCCATCATGTTTAATTTCTTATCCACTTTCAGCACACATCTCCCATCCTGAGTGGTTGGGTTGGAAACTACATTTTGATAGGAACCCTTCCATTTGTCACATACCTTCCAAATGGGCATGGAAGGAATCCTGCAGGTGGGTGGGGTTAGACCTCTCCCAAACGATTGTCTTAGGAAACATAGGTACCCACTGTTGACCTTGCTGAACCATGGACTGGTCAATAGATCCCATTCTTGCTGGGGAAGTATGAGTGTCCTGGAAACCTCCAACCCTGATCTCTTTTTTTTTTCATTTTTTTATAATTTTATTTATTGAATCACCATGAGAGCAGTTACAAAGCTTTCGGTTTTAAGTCTCGGTCATACAATGAAACACCCGTACCTTCACCAGTGCCCATTCTCAACCCCCCAAAATCCCAGTATACCCCCATCCCACACCCTCCTGCTACCTGTGGGGTAGATGATTTCCACATTATTCTCTCTCTATTTTGATTACATTCAATATTTTGATAACAGACCCACCATATTATTTGGGACTTTACCCCAACATTTAGATCTGCTGAAAAGGCAACAGTAGACAATTTGTTTTCTATTGCTGGTTATGAAAAACATATGATTCTGTGTGGCTGCAGTAGTGGCCGTACAATTTTGAAATTACAAAATTTTAACAATTAAATCTGGAGGGATTTCTGCCAAAACCTGCTAGGTTCTGAGATTTGTTCCTGAGTCTCTTGGATCATGGTCGTTAAGCAGGTTGGTCAGGAGCCAGAAAAGCCATTCGTGGGCAGCAACTCGGGGTCTTGTTGGGACGGGGAGGAAAGGGCCAGCTTCACACCCATCCCATGAGGCTCCACATGTCTCATCACTGTGGGCCCTAACATGACTGTCCAATGGCCTCTGGAGGATGGTGGCCACCGAGCTGCCTAGGGGGAGCAGGCAGAGGGACAGCACCCTTTCCCCACTGGGGTGGCCCGGCGACATTAACCTACTGTGGGGTCCAGTCACATTTCTGCCAAAAGCCGTTGAGTTTCAAGATTTGTTTCTGAGTCTCTGGGATCATGGCCATTAAGCAGCTTGATCATGAGCCAGAGAGGTCATTCTTTGGCGGCAACTCGGGGTCTTGTTGGAGTGGGGAGGAAAGAGCCGGCTCCACCCCCATTCCATGAGGCCCCATGTGTCTCGTCACTGTGGGCCCAAACCTGACTGTCCAGTGGCCTCTGGAGGATGGTGGTGACTGGGCCGCCAGGGGGAACAAGCCAAGGCACAAAACTTATTCCCACCTGGGGTGGCCCCGGGCCTGTAACCTACTTCAGGGACTGGACACATTTCTGCCAAAAGCCGTTGGGTTTCGAGATTTGTTTCTGAGTCTCTGGGATCATGGCCATTAAGCACTTTGATCAGGAACCAGAGAGGACATACCTCCAATTATATAGCTGAGCCAGAGAAGGTTTGTGGGTGTGTCTTCCATATACCTAACTTTTGGCCATTTACTTTCTTGGTAAACTTTGCCCCAAGTTTTTGGGGTTCTGGCCAAAAGCACAGCAGCAATTTTGGGGTATCTGAAAATCTGATAGTGCCATCAGGCTGCTGATGCACTCACCTCACAGGTACAGATTGACCTGCTGGCGGCAACAAACCCCCCAGCCCTGATCTCTTGCAAAGACTTGGGGTCACTGGCATTTCTGCTTCTGATCTTTCCTCTTTCTTCTGCAATGTAATTGAGTCAGCACTTCTGCTTTCTGGAGGTTCTAGAGGGGTTGAACTTGGTGTCCAAAGGAATAAGGGAGAGGGAAATAGGATCCTAGGAAGGACTTTGAGAAACACAACTTTGAGAAACAGAGTGGTTTAAGTTGGAAAGGGGACAGTATAGTTTTTGTGATTTCCCTGCCATTATGAAAGGAGCAAGGAAACCAGGGCATTGACACAGGTACCCCTAACACCAAATCTCATGTGTTTTATTGGGGGTGAAAAAGCTGGGGGAGAAGGGATGAGACAGAGTCACCATATTGAAATCAATAGAAGGAGCCTCTGTCTGAAGTTATCACATCTGGTCAGCAGGTGCTGACAATAGCAACCTAGTCCTTAAGTTAGAATCTGAGGGAAGTAGAGGTCTCATATCAGGACTAACTCTCACCAGGCTGAGATCACTAAACCAAAAAGCATTCCTTGGTGACAGAACTGCGAGGCACTGATCAGGCCATGCACACATATTGTATTGACCCTCAGAATCACACAGGAAGATGATAGTGTCAAGTGCAGGTTTTTCTCCTCTCCTTGTCCGACCAACATATAAGCATACATAATATAAATTATTTTGTATGGACACAGTAAGAAATACTTTAAGCTTATAGAATTGCTTTCCCAGGGCCACCTTGATCTCAGACTGCAGTGCTCAGGCCAGATACCTTTCCTATTCCTAGCAGCAAGGTCCTAGTCTCATCATTACTTTTGGATCATGACAGTATTTGCCTATGATCAAACTCTTAACCTATAGTTAAGAATCGTGGCACCTTGGCCTGGCCCATTGTGATGCCAGGGTAGCACATAACTTACCGGCTTGCCCTGGTTCCATCCAGTCCCACGTCAGGACCCTGCCCTTGGGGTTCTAGGAAGTGAGGGCAACTGAGGCTTAAGTTGAGAAAGTAGATGCCCGGGAGTGAATAATATTCAAAGCCAATCAACTCCTAAGTTGCAAAGCATAATATTAATTATCTTCCTGTATCTATACAAAAAGGACATTGCATTAAAGTAAACTATTCAAAAGACATAAGGAGAGAAGAAAGGCAATATTAACTTACAGTACAAGTTCAGTGTCCTAGAAGAATGAGACCTTACAAATTGGTTGGGGAAAAGAGCATATAAGTGGTTGCATACAAACAAAGTAATGGGAGTGACTCGCGAGCACTGTGATAGGTGCAACCTGATAAACCTAAGCTCCTTGTACTCCAACACCTTTTATTTCTTTTCTACTTTCCGATAAACTTTTCTGCTTTCCAACACTAAGTCTGAACATCTTTATTACTCAATAGGTTCATTCTTGAAAACTTTGAATCACCTGGGAATCGCAAACAAACAGAGACCCACTGTCATTGCCACAGCATCGTCTGCATCAGATACCTCCTCAATTGGGGGTGTAGATATCGATCCAGCCAAGGAGAAAAACTGACTACCTGGGTAGACTTCTGGATTCATGGTGTTGCTTCTTCCCCTTACTCAGCAGTCTGAGGTGTGGTGTCTCCAGTTGTCAGAGGTGTGGCTTTTTCCTGGAGTAGAGGAACAGAATGTGGGGTCCAATGTTAGTGTTGGAGACAGGAAACAGTTAGGGGTGGGATCTGGAGCTTTCTTCCAGGAAGGTCAGAAATGTTAAAATGCACTTAAACTTAGGTTTCTGTGTCCTGGAGTTTAGTAGAAGCTTCTATTTAATAGAAGTTCTCAGCTCCCTCAGACTTACTACCAAACCTAGTAGAGTCACCTGGTCCTTGGGTCACAAAGAGAAGTCAGATAAGGAGAGAGTCGGTTGAGTACTTATAGAAACAATAAAAACCACACTTAAAGGAAAGATGGGAAGGAATGTTCTAGAACCCATGGGAAGTTTGGAACTGTAGTATCTATACGTTGGAAGTAGCTCCTGTAATGGTGAATGTCCTCGTATGATAATTGATAGTGATGCACCCTTTGTATATCGCTACTCTGTGGGTCTCTTTTTAAAGTAGAGGAACTGGCCCCCTAGAAATCCTGGCGGTCACCATCTTCCAGAACACAATGAAAAGCCCAGGTACATAGGAGCAGTAACAGCAAATGCCAGACCTCACGGGCTGGGGGGAGGAGTCTGTTCCTCTCTTCCCCACCCTACCCCAACCCCGACGGGACTCTCAGATGACTCCCATCAGCTGCTTCTGGCTACAAGTAAGCCCCTTAACAGCCGTGATCCAGAGATACACAAAAGAACCTCAGAGTGGTGTTGGGACGGGGAGGAGTGGGTCCTTCTCCTTCACCCCCCCCACCCCACCCACCCTGATGAGACTCAGAGGTGACTCCATAACAGGCCACCGTCTACTTAAGCTCCCACGGGGCCTTGATCCGGAGACACACAAATGACCCTCGGACCCAAGCAATTTGTTGCAGAAATGGCCCCAAACTTTGCAATAGGCCCTTTCCGCTAGGCAACTCCAGACAGGGGTAGGCGCCGTCCCTCCACCTTCCCTCTAGGAGCTCAGGCGACCACCATTTTCTAGAAATCAGCAACAAACTCCAGGGGCATGTGGCAGTGGTGGCAGATTCCAGACCTCATGGGATAGGGGAGAAGTGAGCTCTTCCCCCGCCTGCCCCAGTGGGACTCAAAGATGACGCCACATTCGCCCACCGTCTACTTCAGCTCCCATACGGTCATGATCCAGAGACACGCAAACGAACCTCAGACCCAAACAACTTGCTGCAGCGATCTCTTCAGACCCTAATAATTAAAATTTTAGAATTCCTAGAGTATATTGTTTGGATACATAACAAGCGATACAAAAACACTAGCATTGCCCTTTTTGGCAGGTGTGAACGGTGGTGGGACAGGTCCTGAAATATCAATAGTAACTAAAGTAGAGAAAGAGAGTATTGTGTAATTTGTAAGCCACACAGGCAGGGGGAGTTGTGGAATGGGTAGGGTGGGGGGATACTGAGGATTTTGGTGGTGAAAAACATGCACTGGTGAAGGGATGGGTGTTTGATGGCTGTATGATCGATGCTCAAACACGAAAGCTTTGTTACTGTATCTCACAGTTAATCAATTAAAAAAAAAAGAAGAAGAATCTCAGGACTGAGAAGCTCACTACAGAGATCTTGCCAGACCATAATTATTAACATTTTAGAATTTCAGGAGCACGTGGCCAACTCTAACGGCCTCAGACATCATATGCTATTCATAACAGGCAATACAAAAAAATTGTCTAGCATTGCCGTTTCCGCAGATTTGAGTGGTAGTGAGAAAATTCCAGATAATAAGGTGTAACTGGTGTCGAAGTAGTGAACGTAATCAAAGTAGAGAGAATTGTGGAAATTGTGTACCACACAGGCAGAGAAAAGGCTGGGATGGGAGGAGATACTGGGGACTTTGGTGGTGGACAATGTACACTGGTGAAGGGATAGGTGTATGACCCATCGTTGTATCATTGTATGACCATTGTATGACCAAAATTCAAACATAAAAGCTTTGTAATTGTATCTCACGATGATTCAATAAAAATAAGTGAATAAAATAAATAAAAAGTAGAGGAATTTTGCGGCCAGAGCAACAGTACAGTGCGTAGGATATTTGCCTTGCACATAGTCAACCTGGGTTTAATCCCCAGCATCCCATATGGCCCCCTGAGCATCACGAGGAAAAATTTCTGAATGCAGGGTAAAGAGTAATCCCTGAGCATCACTAGGTGTGGCCCCCAAACAAACAAACAAAAAGAAAATAAAGAATATTATAAAGTAGAGGAACCATTACAAAATTTGGTTACATCACCTAACCTTAGGTTCAGCCATGCTTTCACAATAGTGCCAAGTCAGACAAAGCCGTGTATCTCGGTACCTGATCCCGTGTTTTTGATTACCATGCTCTTCTTCTGGTAAATTAGATGTGCACTTCATGTCTAGGTTTACTGAAATGATTCCTTTCACTCCAACATTATGCCCTCTACTCTGGGCACCAGCTTCTGTGCCCACTCTTGCACTTCCTGGGCTGCAGTTTCCAAAGGTTGTGCCCTCATTTTTCTCCCAGATCCCTTGTATCACAGGGACTGTAACCTGGCTGTGGACATACAACACCCATAATGGGCCCCAACCTCTCGGTGTTTCTCCCATAACTGCAGAAACTTTCACTGTCTCTCAGTTTTTGTATAAATAATAGTACAAGATGCGCCTCCCCCAGATGGAACCCCGGTGACCAGAAGCCTCTACAAACACAGCTCGAGTATGCGGGAACGAGGACTTTTTCTCAAATCTGCCGGACTACACCTCCCAGGTAACCTCTGATTCCGGAAGTCATGCCCACAGCCCGCCCCCCAGCGCCATCTTTGAAGCCTTAAGCATAAGAGAAAGAACACATGGAGGGTGCGGGATCCCGGAGGAAAAAAAAAAAGAAAAAACAGGTTCCAAAAAGAGCCAAGTTCACCCGCAAGTTCCAGATGGAGTAGGCGCCGCATCTCGCCTCCCCCAGATGGAACCCCGGTGACCAGAAGCCTCTACAAACACAGCTCGAGTATGCGGGAACGAAGACTTTTTCTCAAATCTGCCGGACTACACCTCCCAGGTAACCTCTGATTCCGGAAGTCATGCCCACAGCCCGCCCCCCAGCGCCATCTTTGAAGCCTTAAGCATAAGAGAAAGAACACATGGAGGGTGCGGGATCCCGGAGGAAAAAAAAAAAGAAAAAACAGGTTCCAAAAAGAGCCAAGTTCACCCGCAAGTTCCAGATGGAGTAGGCGCCGCATCTCGCCTCCCCCAGATGGAACCCCGGTGACCAGAAGCCTCTACAAACACAGCTCGAGTATGCGGGAACGAAGACTTTTTCTCAAATCTGCCGGACTACACCTCCCAGGTAACCTCTGATTCCGGAAGTCATGCCCACAGCCCGCCCCCCAGCGCCATCTTTGAAGCCTTAAGCATAAGAGAAAGAACACATGGAGGGTGCGGGATCCCGGAGGAAAAAAAAAAAGAAAAAACAGGTTCCAAAAAGAGCCAAGTTCACCCGCAAGTTCCAGATGGAGTAGGCGCCGCATCTCGCCTCCCCCAGATGGAACCCCGGTGACCAGAAGCCTCTACAAACACAGCTCGAGTATGCGGGAACGAGGACTTTTTCTCAGAACCGCGCGGCCGCTTACGCGGCCGCGCGACATCTCTCTATATACAAAGTGATCAATGAGAAGTAAACCACCCAATCTTTCTCCCTGAAAGTCAGAGTTAAGTTTGGAGCACGGCCACAGCCCCAGAAACACAAGGACTTAATGCAGAACCCAGCAGCTTAGAGCAGAAAAGTGAAAGGACTATGCGTTAATCCAGGCCATCAAGTCTGCCGGAGGGGAAAGGGTGTTGCCCCATTCGCCCTCTCCTCTCTGGAAAGAAGGATGGCGGCCGCATGGGAGCCTTGTGGACAGCAGGTATGAGCCGGGGGTGTGGGGGCGACTAAAACCTCATGGGAAGGGGGGCGTTCCGGTCCGTCCTTCACGCCCTACCGAGGTCACCAGTTGCCCCCCACGAGCGGCTCTCCAGCACGGCCACAGCCCCAGAAGCACAAGGGCTTAATGCAGAACCCAGCAGCTTGGAGCAGAAAAGTGAAAGGACTATGCGTTAATCCAGGCAATCATTTCTGCCCAGAGGGGAAAGGGTGTTGCTCCCTTCCGCCCTCCTCCCTCTGGAAAGAAAGATGGCAGCCACATGGGAGCCTTGTGGACAGCAGGTATGAGCCGGGGGTGTGGGGGCGACTAAAACCTCATGGGAAGGGGGGCGTTCCGGTCCGTCCTTCACGCCCTACCGAGGTCACCAGTCGCCCCCCACGAGCGGCTCTCCAGCACAGCCACGGCCCCAGAAGCACAAGGGCTTAATGCAGAACCCAGCAGCTTGGAGCAGAAAAGTGAACGGACTATGCATTGACCCAGGCCATCAAGTCTGCCGGAGGGGAAAGGGTGTTGCCCCATTCGCCCTCTCCTCTCTGGAAAGAAAGATGGCGGCCACATGGGAGCCTTGTGGACAGCAGGTATGAGCCGGGGGTGTGGGGGCGACTAAAACCTCATGGGAAGGGGGGCGTTCCGGTCCGTCCTTCACGCCCTACCGAGGTCACCAGTTGCCCCCCACGAGCGGCTCTCCAGCACGGCCACAGCCCCAGAAGCACAAGGGCTTAATGCAGAACCCAGCAGCTTGGAGCAGAAAAGTGAAAGGACTATGCGTTAATCCAGGCAATCATTTCTGCCCAGAGGGGAAAGGGTGTTGCTCCCTTCCGCCCTCCTCCCTCTGGAAAGAAAGATGGCGGCCACATGGGAGCCTTGTGGACAGCAGGTATGAGCCGGGGGTGTGGGGGCGACTAAAACTTCATGGGAAGGGGGGCGTTCCGGTCCGTCCTTCACGCCCTACCGAGGTCACCAGTTGCCCCCCACGAGCGGCTCTCCAGCACAGCCACGGCCCCAGAAGCACAAGGACTTAATGCAGAACCCAGCAGCTTGGAGCAGAAAAGTGAACGGACTATGCATTGATCCAGGCCATCAAGTCTGCCGGAGGGGAAAGGGTGTTGCCC